GGTTTTCTGGTGGTTAATTGGAGATGAGAGTCTCATGTACTTTCCTGCCTGGGCTGGCTTTGAGCTGCAATCCTCAGATCTCAGCCTTTTTTGAGTAGCAAGGATTACAAGCATGAGTCACCAGTGTCTGGGAGGATTGGCATTTCTATCTCCTTAAAGGAATTACTGCCTTAAAAGCAATGAAAACCAAGAAATTGAGCCTTTTGTGAAATCTGGAGTTTTTTGTTTGGTTTGGAGGGGGGGAGGAGAGAGAGACGTTGTTTTCCCAGTTCTGAGGTTTGAGCTCAACTCATGCTTTCTCCCTGTTCATTTGCTTATGGCTGACACTCAACCACTTGAGCCACATCTCTACTTTGGAATAGAGTCTGTCAGTTTTTTCTGCCCCAAATAGCTTTCAATCACAGTCCTTCATTCTCAGCCTCCTGAGTAGTTCAGAAGTAGGTGTGAACCACAAGCATTGGATTACCTGGACTTTTTATTCCTAACTCAGTTTATCTGCTCGCACTGCTTTGTATCCTTGAAGTGATCTTCCTTTTATTTTAAAATAGCTGTTTTACAATTTTATTTTATTTTTTAGGGATGACAAAGCCAACCAACAGATCAAGAGATGAGTACCCCTTAACCAGGTGCTTGTTGTTCATACCTCTAGTCAGCCCTAGCTACTCAGTTGTCTGAGATCTGAGGATCCCAGATGGAAGCCAGCATGGGCAGGAAAATCTGTGTGATTCTTATCTCCAATTAACCATCAAAATGCTGGAAGTGGAGCTGACTCAAGTAGTAGAGCAGAAAAAGAGGGAGGAGGAGGAGGAGGAGGAGGAGGAGGAAGAGGAGGAGGAGGAGGTAGCAGTACCCAGGCTCTGAGTTCAAACCCCTGTACACACACACACACACACACACACACACACAAACACACACACAAACACACCCCTGCTGTATCCATAGATCCTATGAGGAAAGGCAGGCCCTGCTTAGGGAGCGCACAGAGAAAGGCCACAGTCAGCCAGGAGGCAGAGGCCTTTCTGTGACTTCTTGGGGAGAAAGCCAGGTGTAGGCTGAGGTTTGGTGAGTTCTCACCATAATTGTTCTCCACCTAGCCCTGGGGTTATTAGGGCGAGGGCTTAGAGCCTAACCGGAGACACCTGTGGGTGTGGTGAGTTTGTCTGGGTTACTTTGCATTTGAAAGGCTTTTTGTAGGTTCCTATCTAGCCCGAGGGTGGGGGAGCCTACCACTTAAGCCTCACCTCAAAGCATTGCACGACAGAAACTTACAAATGTGGTTAATTCTGTGGTCAGTGGCTAGCCCAAGGTCTTGAATTCTAAGATAAGCCCCTGAGCTATACCAGCGCATCTGCCCAGAGTTCTTGGCACTGTAGATTTGGTATCTATTAACTCTGCTTGTCTTATTTCTATCTTGTCTTATTTCCACCAACACCTAAGCTCCTTGGAGGTGGGGATTATGTTATACTTCTCTAGGTCCCTTAGAACACCTACACAGACTCGAATATACTAAGTATTCAAGGTTCAGTTTGGCCATAGGGATAGCTTCTTTGATTTTGTGTTTTCTTTGTGTGGGTCTTGGGGCTTGAACTCAGGACCTGGGTGCCATCACTGAGCTTCTTTTGCTTAAGGCTAGCGCTCTACCTCTACCACTTGAGCCACAGTTCCACTTCTGGCTTTTTGGTAGTTTATTGGATATAAGAATCTCATGGGCTTACATAAGTGTGGTGGTGGGCGGGGGGCGGGGGTGTTGTTGACAAGAGGGAAAGTGGGAGAAAAACAAGGGAGGGTGTAACAATGTTTGACAAGTTATGTATATAACTGTGACCCCTGTATATACCACCTGACAATAAATTATTTTTTTTTAAAAAAGGATCTCATGGACTTTCCTCCCCCTGTTGGCTTGGAATCATGGTGCTCAGTCTTGAGTAGCTAAGACTATAGGCATGAGTCACTAGCACCCAGGCTAATTTTTTTTTCTTTTGTGGCATAAACACAGACTGTTTTTCAGTTGTAAATGAAAATCAAACTGTGTCATTTGCAAGAGAAATGATAGAACTAGAAATCATTATGTTAAGTAAAAGAAGCCAACTGAGAGAGACAAATATTGTATGTTTTCTTTCATATGAAGAATCTAGACCACCACGAAAAATGAATGACTGACATGTGGGGTTGATTTGGGGCCTGGAATCAACAAGAGGGGAGGAGTATGAAAGTAGGAGGTAAAGGGGAATGAATGTGATCAAAGTACTTTATGTGCATGCATGAAAATAGAATAATAAAACTTATTAAAGGTAGCTTAAGAAAAGGAGAGGGCTCAGGCACCAGGGACTCACACCTGTAATCTGAGTTACTCAGGAGACTAAAATCTGAGGATCCTAAGTTCAAAGCCCAAGCAAGAAAGTCTGTGAGACTCTTATTTCTAATTACACACACACACACACACACACACACACACACACACAGCACCAGACTTGGGTGTTGAGCATGACATACAGGAAGAGAGGGATAAGAAGAAGAAAAAAAAAAAACAGAAGGGGTAAATTTGATCAGAGTACATGATAGGCATGTATGGAAATATCACAGTGAAACCTCTTTATATGATTAATGTATGCCAATGAAAATATGTTAAATACTTTTCCTTGAAGCTAGGTGTGCTGGCACACACCTGCCATCCCAGCAGTCAGGAGGAGGCTGAGGCAGGAGGATCATAAATTTAAAACTTGGTTTATATAGTAAGAACTTATCTCAAAAGGAATAGGAAACAAAACCAAATTTTCCTTCATCCCTAAGCAGAAATAATTTTGCCTACCCTAGCTTGATTGCTTCCTTACTATCCAGGGCTTGGCCGTTCTGCTGTTTAGACATGTTTAATTCCACATAGCCTGTGTGAAATGCATCTGCTAGGAAGATACAGGCCACTCCAGCCGTGAACCCAACAGTGCAGGGGACATTTCTAATTGCAACAGAAAAGGGACAATTAAATTAGTATGATGCCCTGTCCACGAAGTTTTCTCCATGAACTCCCTGCAAGGGGAGAGTAGATTACATGTGTTAGCCATTCTAGATTACATGTGTCAGCCAGGTTCACTGAGTAGCAAGGAGGTGATTAATTAAAAATAAATCTTACAGACTTTCCTGCCCAGCTGGCTTAGAATTGAGGTCCTCAGATCTCAGCCTCCTGAGTATTTAGGGTTACAGGCATAAGCCACTGGCACCTAGAAGTCTTTTAATTCCTTAAAAGACAAAGAAAACAAGTCAATACCTCTAAACAATATCAATTTGTTAACACCAAACACATATATTCCTTTACCAAGAAGCCATTTCAACTCCTCCAGACACAATTGACCTTTCCTGACTAAACTTTTCTCCTTGACCATACAGGAGCACAGCGTTGTTTAAACTAAAATCCTGCCACACATCAATAGCCCTTTATTTAAGTGAGTGGTTATTAGAAGAGAACACACTGGAGAACATGATATACAGTACTGTAGCAAGTATTTTAGGATGTGTTTGTTTCTGTTACATACATATCCCATGTCATATGTAGTTTGTGTCATTACTTAAATCTATTTCCTATTGTGGATTGGAGTGGATGAAAGCCATTGTTGTAACACTCAGCCCAATTCACTTCTCATTGGAAACCTCAGTTTGGCTTCCTGTTTCTCCAGTGTTGGGAACTTTTATTAGAGACTAATAAGAATAATGCTCAATACACATTTCCTAAGTTGAATTTAACTACATGCTCTCATTAACTCCTTGGAGTGTAATGTATCAGATCAGGTTTAGGGTTGGGGTTATTCCCTTTAGAAAAGCCTTCCCAAGGCAGTGAATTTGGGAGTGTTGCCAGGAGAAGGAGCTGTTCACCTTGGCTAGGAAGAAGGGTGACAGCTTTTAAGGTAAATCATTGGTCCAGTGAATTCCCCCCTGGAAATTGGGGCTCAGTGGGAGGGCACCCTAGGGGAGCAAGAGTGGGGAAAAGAAGCTTCTGGTAGGGACTAGAAGCTTTTAAAGTGTGACCACACACTGAGAATCAACAAATAAGCTCAATAAATAAGTTACTCTATCAGGTGTATAAGAGTCAAAGAGCTCTTCAGTATGGATGACAGACTTAACTACATTGGGACCACAGATACTTTTTCCCTGTCCCCATCTCTCAAAGTAGTTCAAAAGGCAAGCCTTATTTGACCTGTGTGTAGCTGAATCCATAAAAAGGGGCTTCTCTGGTAAATTTGCAGCAGCAACTTTACAATTCTACCGCCCCCCCCAAAAAAAGAGATTTATGCGACTGAAATTTTCTCTACCAACTGTAATGATAGTGGACTTGTAGGGCTGATGTTAATTCGCTGTAATTATGTATGGGGCCTTTTCAATTTGTTTTTGGTGGCTTTTCTGTTGTAAATAATTAGATGAGGCAATCAGCACGTCTTTCATACCATAAGGAGAATTTGTTTAAAAGACATACAGCGGTTGCTCTGCAAGTGACAATAGAACTAAATTTCAATCACTAGCTCTTAAGATTCTTAATGAAGGGTTTGTTTAAAACCCCTCTAGCTACCTGGGACTCCAACAAAAGAGAAGCACTCTGTGTGTGTGTGTGTGTGTGTGTGTGTGTGTGTGTGTGTGTGTGTGTGTGTGTTGGGGCTTGAATTCATGTGCTCAGGCATAGTGCTCTACTATTGGAGCCACAACTCCACTTCCAAAATTAGAGAACCTCAATTCTCAGATCTCAGCCTCCTGCTAGCTAGGTTTATAGACATGAGCCACCAGCACCTGGCTCAGAGAAACTTTAAAACGGGATTCCCTTGAGTTCTAAATCCTTTCGCTGAAATCTGTTTCTGTAACCTTTTGAACCACTCACATTTGCTTTGAAAGTTGACACTTTCTATATAAATGGCAAGAGATAAACCTTGGCGCTGTGGAGCTGAACATATTGATTTTAATTATCACTTTCAATCCACACCTTCCTTCTTTGTAATGTACGGTTTTCCTCTCTTCGTTAGAAAGAGCCAGGGATTATCTGCACAAGACTGGGAGGTTTATCGTGATTGGCGGGATTGTCTCTCCTGTCCACGACTCCTATGGAAAACAGGTGGGTCCTCAGCCCTGACCCCTCTTCTTTCCTCCTCTCCCCTTCAAAATGGCTCCTTTGGATAGAATTGCTCCATTATCAGTCAGACCGAGAAGGTGTCCGCCACTCACAGCATCAGGCCCAGTCAGCGCTTGTTAGGAGAGGAGCAGGCATGGCCCCCCTTCATGTGATGTGGCCAAACTGGCTTCTGGTTATGGATTATGATGTGCTTGGGCAAATCTTTTCAGCAATTTTACGAGAAAAAATGTCCCACAGTTTGATTTTAAAACTCCTTTCCTACTCCTCATTCCCGTCACATGTTCCAGATGATATAGGTGCTGCTTCCCTCATTCCCCACTTTTCCCACAGATACAGTCTAGCTCTGGGGAAGTCACCCCAAACAGCCAGATTGAGCCAGAAGACAAGGTAAGTGTCAGGCCTCTGCAGGGCATGCGTATGCTCATACGTGGAAGCTCTTCTGTTGATCCTGCTGGTGGGGTACCTGCCACACCCCCACTTACCTTTGCCCTCTGTCACACACCTACAGGTGGACAGGTAAAAAGAAGGTGCACACCCCACATTCCCTCTCACCACGAAAACATGACAGCTGCTCTTTGATGATGGTTGGCTTGAGTGGGGCCCTGTGAGGATCAGTGGCCATCACTTAATGATTGCTCTGCTGCTTTCCAGGGTCTTGTGTCCAGTCGGCACCGCCTCATCATGTGCCAGCTGGCCGTCCAGAATTCCGACTGGATCAGGTAGGGCTGGCCTGATAATGCCACAGGCAGGTGGCCCTGGCTCACTGGGGGTGAGGAAGAATCCCAGCAATTATTTGGATGCTAGAAGTAGAAAGTGGGAAGAGAGAGAGAAAGGGAGAGGGAGAGATGGAGAGAAAGAGAGACTGACAGACAGACAGAGAGACAGAAACAGAGACAGAGACAGAGACAGAGATAAATTAGCCCACAATAATCACGGAGACCCTCAAGGGGGACCCACTTAATCATTATTTCTTTTTGAAACCAAGCTGTGGGGCTCATGAAATATAGAAGGAACTAACAGGGTTTTATCTGCATTGAAACCTCTGGGCCCTGGAATGATTCAGAGACCTAACTTCCACTAAGTCTCATGTCCTGTCTGGAAGTGTTCTCTAGTCTTGGAGATTTTCTACTCCTGAACGCAAGCTTCCCAGCATCCCAAACTGACTCCTGGACAGAGGGTGTGAGACTTAGGAGCACTGCCCTTGGGAGTCCCATCCAGAGAGAGCCTTGTTGCTCTCTGCTTTTCCCCTCATACCAGACAGGCTAATAAGATGGCAGTCCCCCCCCCTCAATTCTCCCATTCTCCCTCTGAGCTTGCAATGTAATTAAAGCAAGTATTCACTAATTATGCTAATTATGCTCTCTCCAGCTCCAACCGTTATAATTTGCATGAGAAGATGATGTTTTTAAAAAATAATGGTACATCATTTGCACTGTAATTTCCCGCTATAGAAAAACAAGCAGCACCTCTGGGAACTTCGGGGAACTTGAAGGAAGGGAAAGGATGGAGGTTGACCTCAGGATGAGGGACTCAGAGTCAACTGGGCAGGGATACCGGAGGAAATGAGGGTGGGGGGGGGTGACAACAATGACCCCTGTCAGTTGTGCATGGAGATCTGTGTGAGAAGCATGTGCCCTTTGTAGACATTCTCTTCCTCTTAACACACACGCCAGCCAGAGAGGCAGCTGTTTTTCTAAGGTAAGAAACAGGCCCAGAGAGGTCAAGGGACCCCAGCAATGTACATCTGTGGCCAAGACAGGACTGACAATAAGACCTCTTAAACTGGGCGCCAGTGGCTCACGCCTGTCATCCTAGCTACATGTGAGTCTAAGATCTGAGAATCACAGTTCAAAGCCAGCTTGGGCAGCAAAGTCTGCAAAACTCTTATCTCCAATTAGCCACCAATAAGCCAGAAGTAGAGCTGTGGCTCAAGTGGTAGAGCACTTGCCTTGAGAACAAAAGCTCATGGATAGCACCCAAGCCCTGAGTTCCAGCTCCAGAACTGGCATATAGACACACACACATACACACACACACACACACACACACACACACACACACACACACACACACACATACACTTAGTATTGTAACTCTTCCTTCCTGGGTAAAATGGAATCTAGTATTAGACAGGAGGCTGTTCCTGATTGGTTGTGCTTACATGATCATGATTCTGGAGTAATTCCCTCCTTCATTCAGTACGTATTTACTGAGTGTCTACTGCCTGCCTCATGCTGTTGTAGGCACTTGGAAGGTGAGAACTGAGATCTCTAGGAGCTGGCTCCAGGGCCTGTCCCTGGGAGCCCATGTGGCCCCATCACGTGATTGAAGTTAGTCAGATTTCATCTTTGGAAACCTCAAGTGTATGTACATGGCTAGGGATGGGCAGTTAATGCTAAATGGCTAAGAAAATATTTGAGAAATATCCCAATTCAGCTGAGTGCTACATCAGTTTGAGATCCCTGCCTTCTCCCCAGTCTTGCTTATAACAGGTGTTGGTCAGTCTGTGGGGGTGGGTCCCCTGGACTGACCACTATGCCTTACCCCTGGCTACAAGGTTTCACAGCACAGGGAGACAGACAGAGCTGCTTTACCAGGACTCACAGCCTGGCGAGAAAAAGTTCAGCCTCCACTTGGTGAGGGCCCAGCTCACATACATTCTTATCACAGCTTGCAAGGTCCAGAGGAGAATTCTCCTTTCCAGATAAGAAGAGCAAGGCACTCTCCTAAACACTGGGCTTACTGAGCCCGTCTGACAAAACCGTAAGATAGTTACTGCTATTCATCCCATGTTACAGATGGGATGGAGAGACCATCTAACTTTCCCAAAGCCACACAGTACCAAGGCTGGGACTAAACCCAGGCATCTTTCTCCTCCATTTGAGGCAGACTCCTCAGATTTTACAAAGGAGCAAACAGAGGCTCAGCCCTAGGTTTTGTCTGACTAGAAATCTACCTACGTTGCATAACCAGGTCGGGTAAAGCGATGGTCTCTTGAGGCAGGGAATAGGATAAGATGGGACAAGAGTGTGCCCAAGAACCAACCTGTCTCCCATGCTGGCAGGGTGGACCCGTGGGAATGTTACCAGGACACCTGGCAGACAACCTGCAGTGTGCTGGAGCACCACCGGGACCTCATGAAGGTGAGCTGGGCCATGTCTGGGGGTGGACGCACCACCAGGGGGCCAGGGAAGGGCTGGGCCCACAGAAGCCAGGCAGGACAGGGCCGGGTTTCAGCTTCCCTGCCAGCCTGCCACCGAGGATGGCGGTGAATTAGGAACCTGAAGCAGTCCTAGGGCTGTTCCCGCTTTTCTCTCTCCTAACTTCCTCCTGCTGGATATGAGATTACTACTGGAGATGACTCAGGCAGCCTCCATCAGCCCAAGAAGCAAGGCCGAGGTGGGATTACAGTTACAGGACTTCTGAAAGTGAGGAGAGGAAGAAGCTGGATGAGGAAAGGCAGCAGCAAGAGACGTACCCTAAGCACTGGCAGCTTGTACCAGACCTCCTGCTCCTGCTGCCAGGGGTCCCTGGAATCCCCTTCACCCCAGGTTGGGAGGCTGAAAAGGGGGCACTGCACACTTGCTGGCATTGCTTCCCCCATCCATTCCTATTCACCAGAGACTCCACAGACTTGGGGACACAATGTTTAGTGAATACAGACGGATAAGAGTCAGGGCTTGTGTCTAGGCTGCAGACTCAGAGCCCCATACAGCTGGCAGCACTGGCCAGAGGGTGGAGAAAGCAAAAGTCCTTCAAGGGTCAGTACCAACTCATGGATTCTCCTAGTGACAGATGAAAAACAGAGCTATTGATGGCAAGAAACATGGCCAACCAGGACAACAGTAAACCGTGTTCATCTCGACCAGATCCAGGGAGAGTCTGCATCCCATCTCTGTTCCTACTGTTGGAGGATGCATCGCTGTCTTCTTAGACAGCCCATTCTCTACCAAACACACAGTTGAGCTATGTTTTACTAGACCTGAAATGTTCGGGCCCTAGGCCATCCTGAGGACGCAAGAATTGGTACTCAACTAATTATTTTTAGCCTGTGGAATGGAATGGAAGCCTTCCCTCTACCTTCAGAACCCTTCACACATATTCAGATTTCTCCCTGGTCCCCTTGAAAGGTCTCTGACACAGCATCACCCTGATTTGTTCCACCTCCATGCAAATCTCAACAACTTGAGTTATAAAAGACACCACCTACTACTGAATAAGCATGTGTCAGCCAGGATAGGCTAAAACATGCTGGAGTAACAAACATCTTTAATACCTCAGTGACTTTACACGTGTGTATTTCTCACACTGTGGGTTGGCTAAGATGTCCGCGGGGAGCTTGTGCTCCTCGGGTTCCATAATGAAAGGGTAGGTGTTTGGGGACACTGCAAACACTCCTGAGTGTGCTCGACTGGCTGCGACGGCCATCAATCCTGGCTGCTGTTTTGTTTTCCAAGTGCTTGAGCTTCCTGAACATTTCCTGTGTTCCTCATGCCCAACGTGAGTCTGGTCCAGAAAAGTTCATCCAGGAGCTCTAGCTGTTACAGTGGTAGATAGAGGCTGGCTGACAGCATAGGTCACAAATGTCCCACTGACGTAAGACTCCAAGCATGGTGCTGCTTGCTAGTATCTACCCCTAAGCCTACCCGTGTAAGGCCAGTAGAACAGGCAGAGAGGTAGACACTCCGGCTGTGTTTGGTAATGACTCTGAGAATGGAGGGCTGAGGAGGCCAACACAGAGCACACAGCCAGCGATTTTCTTCCCTGGAATAGAACACATGGCGCAACTGATGCAGCAAGAGGAAGAAATTCTCAGCCACCAGATGAGCTACATGAGAACATGATATTCTTTTCTGGTGGTAATACAAGGGGGTTGACTACTCCCTGCACCCCCTCAGCCACAGCTGAGCAGAGAAGCCCATGATGCACACTGAGAAGATGATAAGATACCGTCAGCTGCAGTTGGCTCCCAGATGTGGCTGGATGCTGCCGTGACCTTCTCCTACTGGGAATATGACAAAAGAGAGGTTACTCTGCCAGGAAAATGGCGACCCTTCCAAGACGCAGAAGGGATTGGCATGCTGCTCTGCTAGCCAAGTGACCCATGGAAAAGGTGCCCAGAAGGTCTCCCCAGCTTTGAGCCTTTCAGGTCCTCTGGCAGTGGGCATCATCACCTTCAAGATGCTGGACCTTGAAGAAGCCAGGGCCTTTATGGTCCACAATGGATTGAAACCTAGTCCTTTGTTTTGGTGTTGTCCATTGGCTGATTTCCCACACACCTTGGACACAGGAGCTGCTCTGGCTCAGCTATGGGAAATGCTGCATTAGCAGTGCCATGTTTTCTGGGGTCCTGGAGAAAGCAGCGGGCCTGATAATGCAGGATAATAGATAATGCACATCAAATTCCCATTCCTTGTCTTGAGCTAAGAGGACTCAGAACCCACCAACCCACTTGCTTCAACACAAATATGTTCTGCTCTGCCTGGCACCTGGCTCTCGCTGGCTGTGTTTTAGACATCTCTGGGCTGCAGAGGCCACAGGGGCTAACGATGCCGTGTGTCGGTCTGACCTTTCCCAAGTTGCAGAGCCCTTTTGCAGACATGATTTCATTGGAATCCTGAGAGCACGGGGAGGTTAGATAGTCACCACGGGCAGAAGGTTACGCCATCTGCACCCCTTGCAGAGTTCTGACCATCTGTCAAGTGCTCTGCGGGCACTTTGCATAGGCTTATTTGTGCAATTCTACCACAGTGAAAACGACAAGTATATTGTTAGACTCCTGAAGCAAGGCTCAGGAGAGAGTCTGTAACTATCCAAGATCATATAGCCAGCAGGAGGAGAAGCCTGAATTTGGGTCCATGTTTGTGTGATGTCACGTCTCAGACTTGCTCCACTGAGCAATACTGTGATCTGCCAGCTTAGTGAGAAGTGAGAAGTGGTACAGCTGGGTCTAGAATCCCCACCCCCACCACCAGGGCTGTCCCTCAGCCCTACGCTGCCTCTCCCTGATGGACAAACAGATGTCTATGTGGAGATAACTGCAAAGTGCTTTTCCTAGTCCCTTGGCAAATGAAGCTCACTCAGTGCTTCTCCCTTTCTCCAGAGGGTGACTGGCTGCATCCTCTCCAATGTCAACACACCTTCCATGACACCTGTGATCGGACAGCCACAACATGAGAACCCCCAGCCCATTTACCAAAACAGCAACGTGCCCAACAAGCCCACTGCAGGTAAGGGGACGTTGGTGGAGTGGTTCTCAATCTTTAGAATCACTTGGAGGGCTTGTTAAAATACTAGGAGCTGGGTCTGACTCCTGTGTTTTATTCAGTAGGTTGGGGGTGGGGTAGGACAGTTGGATTTTAATAAGACCCATAGACCACAGGGCCACTACTGGTCCTGAGACTGTACTTTGTAAACCCTTAATTTAGAGTATCAGTAGTTGCAATCACACAGAGAGAAAGAAAGACATGCAGACAGAGACAGCGAGGGGAGGAAGTGCATAGGCTTCATGTGTAATTATATCTTATCATTGCACTGAGAATGAAATGTACAAAAGGAATACTTTTTTTCTACCCCTTCCAGGAAGCTTGAGGGTAGCACTCTAGGCCATACAGTGAGAAGTGACAGGGCCATGAATCACACTGCATCATCTCATTCTTAGCCACCTCTTTAACAATAGAGAACAGAGGCTACCATTGCTTACCCAACCCTGAGCTCTGTATGCCTGGACACACTGAGCTCAGGGCTTTGTGTGTGTTCTCATTGAATGCAGCAATTCTGTTATATAGACTCTATCTTCCCCTCGACATGCTGTGTGCTCAGAAGCGGGAGTCAGAGTGTGTGTTCAGGACCATCAGCCTCCAAAGTGCACACTTAGTTATGCTTCGAGGTCAGTTCCAAGAGATAGATGTTGCTACTTTTCAAGCCTATGGATCAAATTGTGTTATACTACTGGTCTTTTATAGACAGGTTAATTCACAAAGAATAGTTTGTATCTAATTAGAAGAAAAAAATCCTGGATTGGAGTCCAGAGATATTAAAAACCAGATCCCTATTAATTAAACAGGAAGTCTGAGGGTTATGAAAACCATTTGTGTGGGAAGAAATTCCTTAGCTCAGCAGAAATTATTCTGATGTGCATTTTGCCACAGGCAGAATCTCCCTGGATAAAGATGTTACTGTCCAGTGGCTTGGAATGGTTAACAATAGACTTAGTACAAATATAGGAGGAATGCTCACTGGACAGAATATGTATTATTTAAATACCGAGACTAACATTATATAACTGATATATACTGCATTGCTGTGATAAACTACCTGATAGAATCAACTTAAAAGGAGGAAATACTTACCTTAGTTCAAGTGTCAGAAGTTTCAGTCTGTGTTCACTTGGCCATGTTGCTTTGGGCCTGTGGCTGTACAATACATCATGTGTGGGAGTGAGGGGTGGTGGAGGAGGCTACTTGCTTCATTATGGCCAGGAAGTATTAAAAGAGGAAGAGGAAGGGAGGGGTCAGGAAATACACCCAATGACTTAACTTCCTTCTATCAGTCTCCACCTCCTAAAAGTTCTACCACTTCTCATCAGGTAGGGATTGAGCCTTCAACACATGGCTTTTGGGGAACATTTAAGATCTAAACATGACCCAGGTGCTGATGGCTCATGCCTGAAATTCCTAGCTACTCAGGAGGCTGAGATCTGAGGATCACAGTTTGGAGCTAGCCCCAGGCAGGAAAGTCCATGAAACTCTTATCTTCAATAAGCTACTCAGAAAATGTCCAAAGTGGTGCAATGGCTCAAGTGGTAGAGCACTAGCTTTGAGCATATAGAAAGTCAGGTACCACACCGAGGCTCTGAGTTCAAGGCCCAGGACCAGCACACACACACACACACACACACACACACACACACACGTGCGTGCGAACATGACATAAAACAAGAAAAAAAGAGCAACAGACATATATTGCCTTTAAGCAATAGAATTGGATCCAATGTTTATTAGATGGACATACTCACATAATACACAATTTTTCAAATACCAATATGTTCAGAGCAGTTAGTTGTACAGGTGAGAGTATGGGTGTATTTACTTTCCTCTTTATGTATTTGCTTCTTCTCTAATTTCTACCTTTTCAAAAATAGTGTAATCATGACCAGAAAAATGGTCATGAGGCTATGGCTCACAATGCTTGTGCCTTGGACTGTGGAGGAGAAGCATTTTTGCTGTTACACTTCTGTTCTTTCTCTCCACCCTTCTTTTGCCTTGTACTCCCCAGCTCTCTCCCTTCACTGTACCCCTGTTGTTTCCAGTGACCCCAATGATAGGCTAACCCGAGTGTAAGTTGTGAGTGGTTCTCTCCCTCTGTCCCTGTCTGTCTTGCTCTCTCCCATAGCCAAGATCTTGGGGAAAGTGGGAGAAAGCCTCAGCCGGATCTGCTGTGTCCGCCCACCAGTGGAGCGCTTCACCTTCGTTGGTAAGGGAGCAGTGACTGTCTTTCCTACACTCATCTTCCTCCTTTCCTTCCTTCATCAGTAAATACTCTCAAGTACACATGTAATGGGCCTTCTAAAGTTCAAACACTGAGCAACAATGTTAGGAACCAGGGCTCATCTCATGAGGGGAGAGCCCTCATGAATGGGCTCAGACAAGAGTTCTCCTAAGAGAGGCCCCATGGAGCCAGCTAGTCCCTTCCACAAATGAGAAGGTGCCACCTGTAGACCAAGAATCAAGCCCTCACCAGACTTTGACTCCTTGATCTTGGTTTTCCAATATTGAGATCTGTGAGAAATACATTTTTGTTGTTCCTAAGCCACCTGGTCTATGGTATTTTGTTATAGCGTCTCAAGTGGACTGAGACAACCAAGGATCACTTGTAGAGCAGTAGTAGAAAGAGACCCGAGGTCAGGGGCCAGTAGCTTCCCCATGTGATCGTAGCTTCTCAGAAGGCTGAGAGCTGAGGATCATCGTTTGAAGCCTGCTTAGGTAGGAGTCTATGAGACTGCTATCTCCAAGCAAGCTGGATGTAGAGCTGTGGCTCACATGGTAGAGTGCCAGCCTTGAGCTGTGAAAAAGCTAAGGGACAATGTCCAGTCTCTGAGTTCTGATGAGAGCACAGATCTGATGAGAGCCAAGCAGATCTGGAGTTACCTGGGGAACCTTTCATGGCCATGGCCTCCTCCAGGCTCTGCTTATTCCTGTACCTCCTGTAGAATAGTTCTACATACCCAAAGGGTTCCAGTGGGACCTAGAACCTTCCCTTAGGTCACCCCAGCTCCAGGAGTCCTGCCAAATTCACGTGCCTTTGTCTGAACCCCCTCTGTTTTTGACTGCTCCCCCAGTGACTCAGCATGCATGGGGGTCTCACATTGTGAACTCTTTCTCCTGCAGATCCCAAATTTAACTTTATAGAAGACCTGAAGGAAGGTCTAGACCTTCTTACTTTTGTTCCTTGGGACTGACTGCTGCCATTTCTGAGATTTCCCATTTCAGGCACACTGGAAGGGGGACTCACAGGGATGGCTGGGCAGACAAAGGGGTGGGAGACAAGACAGCATCTTCCTGGGCTTGGGTGTGTACACTCTTGTGTGCAAGCACTGCACACACATGGGCACTGACAGAGGCTCTGCCCTTCACATTCTCTTGTGGACTCTCTCACTACATTCTGCCATGGAAAAAAAAAATCTCAAACCAGATGCACTAAGGAGAGAGGTCCGCTTCCTGTGACTCCGGAAGTGGTCCCTGTGGAGGTTAGGGAGGCAGCTCCCTTACCATGCAGAGAGAAACCAAAGGCACTAACACGAATGTGTTTGCAATCCTGGGTTCCTCAGCCAGGAACATAAAGTGGTTCCCAGGAATGGGAGGGAATGCTTCCTGTCCATTTGGTGCTGGCCTGTGCCCTCCATTTTCACCCTCCTTGGATTTCTCCGTGCAAAGATACAAGGAGCCCCTCTCCCCCACTTCCCATCCCAGCTACAAGATCCTCTGTTCACTAACACTAATGCAACCCTCCTTCCTCCACAGATGAGAACGCCAACCTGGGCACAGTGATGCGGTACGAGGAGATTGGTGAGTGGGGCTGTGACCGTGGGGTCGTGTGGAGCCATCTGCCTCTACTGCTGGCAACATAGGGGCGAGTGGAAGCTTGAAAACCCCCAAGTTATGTGCATAACAGAGTCAGCTTGGAGGACATTGATCAGAAGCAAACTAGGAAGGGATTCTTACTTAGCTCTGCTTTGACATATCCTAACTGGACTCAGGCTAGTTCCCAAGACACAGCTTGGACCATTTGATAAGTTTCCATTCAGAGCCTTCCTCCTTCCTCTAAAAGAATAACAATCAAATCTTCAGTGCCCATTGGAGAGACCATTCTTTTGCCCATGGGCACTGCACATGAGCTATTGGTAGAGCTCACTTGCTTTCTTGTCAGAAGTTTTCAATACATGAAGGTAGAGAAAGACGCAGAGGTTGGCTTAAGGCCCACATCCATGGCCTGCCTGTAGCTCAGATGTAAGGCTATAATGTCCCACTGGCCATAGAAGGGACCTGGACCAGGCCAGAGTAGGTGGAGGATGATTACACAGAGCTGTCGAGATGACAAGCAAATTCCAATACAAATCAGCAAATTAAAACTTTCCCCACATTTCCGAGTGAAGACACTAGAAGTGAGAAGACACTTCTAAGTGAGAAGACCCAAGAGCCTGAAGTTAGGGCAAGTTTCAGATAGAGGCCAAAGTGCAGCTGATATCAGGTGGGAAGAACAGTATCAGGTGCAGTGGTGTGCTTCACTTGACTCATCTGGGTTTGCTAGACTCATAGGTAATGTTTTCAGAAATGTTGTGAACACGCCACTACTAAAATTTAAGTATGAACTTACACTTGAATTGCATGAAAACAAACATAATGAATACTCAAGCTCCTTACCTCCTAATTATTGTGCTATACTTTAATTTTCTTTATTCATTAGCTCATTGCCATTTGAAGGTCACAGGCCTGGCCTCCTGAAGCTCCTCAAAGCAACGGGGGATCTTGACCCACATTCAGAGTCTCCAAAAGCAGACATGGGAGCAGAGGGGACAGCATAGCTCAGAGCTCTGTACCTATCTCCCTGCTATCCTATAACTGGCCAGGAGCTATTACTTTCCTGGCAGTTTCTGGACCAGTGAGCTCAGAACACTCTTAGGATTGATTGATTGATTGAGGTCTGCTGTGGGGCTTAAACTCGGACCTGCACACTGTCCCTAAGCATTTTTGCTAAAGGCTAGATTTTACCACTTTGAGCCACAGTACCACTTCTGGTTTTCTGGTGACTAATTGGAGATAAGAGTCTCACAGACTTTCCTGCCCTGGCTGGCTTTGAACCACAATCCTTAGATCTCAACCTCCTGAGTAGCTAGGATTACAAGTAGGAGTTACGGGCGCCCAGCTCAGTCTTAGGATTTTTAATTGTGTTCCTATATATATATTCCTCTTTCATTGGTCCAGAAAACTTGTAGCCAGCTTACATCTGTGACCTTGCTTTCCTTCCCAGCCCCCATAGCTTGTATTAGGTCACTGCAGCCCAACCCACAGAGCTCTCCCTGCTGGGTAGGGGCTTGTGGATCTATGTGGTTCACTGTTTGCCCAGCACAGTCTCCTGGCACCCCTGTGAGGCAGTGATCGCCAGGCCCATCTTGCTTACTCTTCTTGCTCTTTAGCCAGATCGGTGAACAGGCCACTTACCATAGCACTATAGAGGGAGCTGGGGGTTGGCTTCTCACCTCTGGCTGGCTACATCTGCTCCCTGAGACAGAAGAGGCCCACCAGGGTCTGACAGGAAGGGACTCCAGGGACAGGAACTGAAAAGCTCTTAGCTCTGTAGCCACTGCTGTTGCTTGAATTTGTGGCCTGTGTTGCAGGCACTGGTCACCTTGTGTAGCTGAGATGAGTCCCAGGACCTGGGCTTTGCATAGCCAGCATTCCTGGGCAGGGAGTGTAGAGGGAGAGCACTGATTCTGGCTCTTGGCCTTGGATCAAGGCCACCCGGGGAGAGAGGTGGGGCCTGGCAGAAGACAAAGGGAGCCAACCTGCCTCCTGACCCTTGCGCTCTGAGAGGCCTTGAAATCTTGACACTCCTTTATTGAAATCTTGCCCACTTCACAAGGAAAATCCGTCTTCTCCTAGCTCCTTTAGCATCTGTAACGTGGTTTTCATGTTCCTAATGGCTGGCTGCTTCTCCAGGGCTGCTCTTGGCCAAGAGTTTTGGGGCCAGAAACACATTAGGTTCATCCAATAAACTGGGAGAAATCACTACTGCCCTCCAGTGGCTGCACATGGCAGCTCAAGTTCTGCCAAATACACCTCTGTGATGCATGTAGGTGCTCTGGTTTTACAACAAAAGGTAGACACTCCACTCTAATTTCTGTACTTTGCCTATTTTATTTTAAATCCCATATTAGCCATGCACTTGTGGCTCATGCCTGTAATCCTAGCTACTCTTAAGGCTGAGATCTAATCATGGTTCAAAACCGGCACTACCAAACAAATCCAAGAGACTCTTAATTCCAATTAACCACTAAAAAGCCAGAAGTAGAGCCATGACTCAAGTGGCAAAGTGCTATCCTTGAGCAAAAAAAGCTAAAGGACAGCACCCAAGGCCTGAGATCAAGCCCTAGTAAGGCATGTGCGCGTGCATGCCCATGTGCACATACACACACACACACACACACACACACACACACACACAATACTTAGATGAATGAGTCCTTACTGACATCTGGGTACAGACAACTCTGTTGTGGGAGGAGTTTTGAGCAGTATAGGAACTGGAGCAGCATCCCAACCTTTACTCACCAGATGCCAGTCGCCCACCCCTTGGCTCTCCTCCAGAACCATGACAACTAAATATGTCTCTGGTCATGGCCAAAGGTCTCCTGGCAACTGAAAAGTTGTCCCCAGCTGAGAAGCACTGATGTAGAGAAAGTAGAAGGCCAGGCCAGCCTCTGGTGATGATTACCTCACTGGACCTTTAGGCTGTCAGAGTTACAGAGCCTCAGGCTTTCAACACAGAACTGAGCTGGAATGCTAGGAGGTTCTAACCTGTCCACCTGAATGAGCTGTACCAAACCTGGTTCATTGCTACAGTGACGGGGTTGGGCCTTGCAATGCAATGGAGGGGGAGGTGTTGCTGAATGGGCAAGCATTTTCTCCAGGGATCGACAGCCATTCAGCTTTCCCAGACTGCTCAAAAGCTCGTAAGCAGCCATTCTTGCCTCCATCATCGTGGGTTTGTCAGCTCACCCATTCATTATGTCCAGGTGCTTACCATGGGCCAGTCACTCTCCCAAATTCTGGGGATACTTGAAGCCCAACTAAAGTTCTGAACAGCTGGGCGCAGGTGGCTCACGCCTGAAATCTTAGCTACTCGGGAGGCTGAGATCTGAGGATCGTGGTTCAAAGCCAGCCTGGGCAGGAAAGGCTATGAGACTCTTATCTCCAGTTAACCACCAGAAAACTGGAAGTGGCACTGTGGCTCAAGTGGTAGAGCACTAGCTTTGAGCTGAAGAGCTCAGGGACAGAGTCTAGGCCCAGAGTTCAAGGCCCATGACCAATCAAAAAAAAAAAAAAAAGTTCTGCACGGAACAGACCATTATTTCTTTCATTTTTGTTTTTACTGTTATTATAAAAGTGATATACAGAGAGGTTATATTTTTATATATTTTTATAAGATAATGACACCCCAGAACGGATCATTAGACTGAAGAGTGTAAGAGAGGAGAGAAGGAACAATGTGGGAATATTAGATAGCTAAGACCCCAGCCCTCAGTGGAGCTGGGACTATAAGACACTGGCATTGTCCCTCATCAGCCCAGCAGCCTTGCACCTGCTGCAGAACTCCTTCCCCAGCCCAGGCCAGCTCACCATCTGCACAGGCTCCTGCAGCTCTGGCGTCTTCAGCAGGCAGAGCCATGTGGATAGGCAGATTTCTCAGCCTCTGGTGGCAGCCATCTGGATCCAGCACAGGACTGGATTGGATTGTTTCACATAAGGTGCCTGGTAGAAACTCCTGGGGCCAGCAGGCCCTTAGGTACAGACACTGCCCTGAGCCACATGGGAACTCCTCCCAGGGAGTCCCTGGATCCTTTTCTACCCCATTGCTCCGATTCATTAAGTAACCATTTGCTGCTTGTTTTAAACAACTATGGGCCTCACTGGGATCATTGAGAAGGGGTTTAATGAAGGGAGGAAAACAACTGATCAGTGGGAAGCCACCAGAGCACCCTGAAGAGCAAGGTGGAGAGGCGGCTCCCCCTCTCTTCTCAAGCCCTTAGCTGTGGACAGGGGTTCCTGACAAGTTCAGCAGACCAAAGGGTAACAGGGTACCCTCAGCCCCTTCCCCCCACCAGGGTGGTGTGTGTGACAGGAGACAAGTTCTGGATAATGGGGGAGGGGAATCTAAACTCTGCTTTCATGCACTCATCTTGCATATGCAGCTGCCCAGGCTCTGTTAGCCATCCTGACTCCACCCTGAAACATTCCTGTCCTGGGTAGGCAGGCCAGTTGGCCACTTTCTATGTTCTCCTGTTCCTGCACGGGTCATTCACAGAGGACACCAGGACCATCAGTGTTGATCTCCAGGGAGAGGAGAGGGAGGCTGTGGGCTGTAGATACTCTCTTACAGGGGAGAGCTGCCTGGGGGAGCAGGACCCTGCAGCCCCAAGGGGGACAGATTTCTCTGTCCAGCAGGAAATGAGAGTGGACCATTCCCCTGGCCTCTGTGTGCTCCCTTTACAAACTCTGCTTTTCCTCCTCAGAGCTGCGCATCTTGCTGCTGTGCGGCAGTGACCTACTGGAATCCTTCTGCATCCCGGGACTCTGGAATGAGGCCGATGTGAGTAGCTCCCCACAGCTGGGGTGGGGAAGGATGCGTGGAGGGCACACTTGATTTTGGCCTCTCATCTTCCTCCTTTCCCCTCCAACTGGAATCTTCTGCCTCCCCAGAGCTCCCAAGAGAGCAATCCATTCACACCACCGTGGGAAAACATTCTCCCCTCCCCTCCCCCACCCCCAAGCTTTATCTCCTACTGCATTTTCACATTCTCTCCTCCTCATGCGGCAAAGCCCCTGCAAGAATGACACTTTGAGTCATGGAATGCCTTCTTCCAAATGTGTGTGTGTGTTGGGAATGGGGGAAGGGAGGGATTATAACAGATCTTTCCCTTTCAAGATTATAGAGTGGGGGCTGGGAAGGTGGCTCAGCGGTAGAGCGCTTGCCTTGCATGCATGAGGCCCTGGGTTCGATTCCTCAGCACCACATAAGCAAAAAGAAAAAAAAAGCCGGAAGTGGCGCTGTGGCTCAAGTGGTAGAGTGCTAGCCTTGAGCTGAAGAGCTGAGGGACAGCGCCCAGGCCCAGAGTTATAGAGTGGTTTGCTCTTCTTTGATTCCTTTGGAAGAGTAGTAAAATACTTCCTGGAAATCCCCTTCACAAGAGAAAATGGGGTCAGGAAGAGAGACATAAATGGCAAAAGGTCAGTAGGATCCTCCTGGCAATTGACTTAGGGCAGAGCGAATAAACCAATACATACTCACTCCACTGACATCTTTGTGATTGTGATGGTCTTAAACCAGCCATTCTATAAATTATTTACTCTTCACACAGGTATTCATTCTTTGAAAACATTTTTAAATTGTTATTATAAAGGTGATGTACAGAGGGGTTATAGTTACATAAGTCAGGTAAAGAGTACAATTATTTTTGGATACTGCCACCCCTTCCCTTGTTCTCTTCCAGTTTTTCCCTCTTGTCCCCACCCACAAGTTGTATAGCTCATTTCCAACTTAGTGTATAGTAAGTACCACTGCTGCATTTGTTCACCTTTTGTCCCGCCATTTCTGTGCCCCCTTTGCCCTTCCAAAGAGGATAAATAAATAAGACAAAAGGAAAAGAAAACAAAAATAACAATTAAAAAACCCTCTTGTTTCTATTTCGTGGAGGTCATTTCTGTATTATTTTATACGATCAGAGGCACATAGCCATTGTGCCTTTGCGTTCCTCTCCTAAGAACATCCTCTTTTGGTCTCAGTGTGTATGAATGCCTAGAAACCTGTATGCTATATGGCGTTCCATTGTATTTCTGCACAGGTATTCATTCTTGCTCTTTCATTAACTCAGTCATCTGATAGCTTGAGCAAACGCTAGCTCCCAGCCTTATATTCCTATGCAACTTGGATTTCCAGCTGTGTGATCATGATTACTAAACAAAGCTCATTTTGCCTGTTGTACAGCATGCTAATCACATGAGTGCAAATGTTTTGCAAGAAAAGAAAAGAAAAAAATTTATTTATGAGATAGTTATATATGAGGAGGTAGAAGCCTCAAATCCAAAGTGTTTAAGTGTATTTAGGGAATAAAGAAATGAGGGTCTGGGACATGGTCAACGGTGACTGGCGATAATGAAAGGTGAACTGACTGATGTTCTTGCTACGATATTTAGTCACTAGGTCCAGGACCAAAATGTTTGAGGTCTTTTTATATGTGTGTGCTGGTCCTGAGGCTTGAACTCAGGGCTTAGGCACTGTCCTTGAACTTTCTTATTGAAGGTTAGTGTTCTACCACTTAAGCCACAACTCTCCTTCTGGCTTTTTTGGTAGTTAATTGGAGATAAGAGTCTCACAAACTTTCTTGCCAGGGCTGGGCTCAAATCTCAATCCTTAGATTTTAGCCTCCAGAGCAGCTAGGATGACAGGCATGAGCCACTGGCACCTGACCAAATTCTTGGTCTTGTCAGAGAAAAAACAGTTGAAGGACAAACACAGAGGAGAGGTAAGCAGAAGCAGTTTTGTTGACATAAAGCAAAGCAAAAGCAAAATGGAAGTGCACCCTCCAGACAGGAGAAGGGCAGATTCCAAAAGGAGCAATGGTGGCTCATGTCTATCATTCTAGCTACCCAGGAGGCCGAGAGCTGAGGATTAAGGATCATAGACTGCTCAGACAGACAGATCTGTGAGACCCTTATCTCCAATTAGCCGGGGGGAGGGGGATGGGGGGGAGCTGTGGCTGGCATCATGGCTCAAGTGGTAGGTGCCAGCTGGTAGAGAGGACAAGGACTTGAGTTCAAAGCTTCAGTATCAGAACAAAAATCAAATGAGGGAGAGAGGGAGGGAAGGAAGGAGGGCAGGCCAGCACTGGACTGGAAAAGCTTTGTTATCCTAAGCTTTGCTTGGTAGTCTGTGGACATGGAGGTAATCATTAATCATTAACCTAGAAAACTAGGTTAATGTGCCATTTAAAAAAAACTGTGTCATAACATCCAGAGATTGGGTTATGCTCTATCAACTTCTCCCATGGGTCAGATAGCAGAGTTGTTGGCCCCAGAGCATCACACCAGAGCTGTCATTTTTCGCAGGCTGTGGGGAGCTGACAGTGAACAATACCGTAGCTACTCTATATCTCAAGTTATTCTGTTAACACCAGCATTCCAGGATGTGACTCCTTATCATCATCCATGCCACTGGGTGTCCATGGCTCACACCTGTAATCCTTGCTACTCAGAAGGCTGAGATCTGAGGATCATGGTTCAAAGCCAGCCTGGGCAGGAAAAGTCCGTGAGACTCTTATCTCCAATTAACCACCAGAAAACCAGAAGTGGTACTGTGGCTCAAAGTGGTAGAATGCTAGCCTTGAGCCACATAGCTCAGGGACAGCGCCCAGGCCCTGAGTTCAAGCCCCAGGACCAATAAAACAAAACAAAACAAACCCAAGCTATCTTTTTCAAGTATCCCAACAACCTGCCTAACTCCTGTATCACTGGGAACATGTGTAATCAGTGCAATCCAAGTTCACGGCTCTTTAGGACCTGTGTCCTGAGGTTGGCATTTTGGCCCTCTGAGGTCAAAAATCACCCATTGGACACTTGCACAGCCTCAAGTGAAGGGTTAGTAGTTTTGATTGGTTTGTGCAGTCTCCAAACTGCTAAATAAGCACTCAGACAACCATTACCATGGCAACCCCTCGTCTATCGCTAGCAAAGCTAATGGCTATGCCTTGCTAAGCCACTAGATCCCCAAAGCTAGGGGTAAAAGCAAGCGATGAAAATGAAGGTAGAGGATGAATCCAGGCTCTCCCCACACACCTGTGTCACTGTGGGCCTGGACGGTTTTTCTTTCTTTCTTTTTAATCTATACAATCTTTTGGGAGGGGGTGCTTGGATTTGAATTCGGGTCCTCATGATTGCTAAGCAGGCTCTCTTGCACTTGAGTCACTCCTCCAAATTCCAAAGAACCAAGGAATCGTTTTGGTAGTGGTTTGAGATGATAAAGACTTTGGTTCTATCCCAACATAGTACCTGAAAAAAAAATCTATCCTGAGCTTCAGTTCTTCCCAGCTGACTGTGCCTAGGCCAGCAGCTCTCACACAATTCCATGCAACAAGGAGTAGTAAGAGAGTTTAACAAGTGTTAAATAGGCGCACAGATAGACACACAAAAGCAAATGAGGATGGAGAGTTTCCAAGAAGCCGATTTTCCTATTCAGTCCTTTACCTTCGCCCGGGAACAATTTCCTGCAGGTGAAATAGTAAAGCTCTTTTCAGTTCAGGAGTTAGTGACTTCATTAGTCTTTCCTTGCAAGCATCTCCCAAGGTGCTGTGAAATAGAAGGCAATAGAGGGAAAGTTCTACCCAAGATCTCAGCAAAGCTCTTTCCAGAACCCAGGCAAAGGTGGGCTCCATCTCAGAGGGAGGTTGCACAGTGGTGAAGGAATTGAGAAGCATGAAGAAGCCAGGCTAGCAGCCCAAAATGTTGCTTCCAAGAGCAGGAATCGCTGGAGCTGTTCACTGAGTCAGACCTGCAAGGAGCCGCCTCTCAAGGGGCAGAGCCAGGCTTCTTCCGGCCCTTACCTTACACCTGCTTACTCACAGACCCAATCCTCCTCTGCTCTCTCAGTGAGATGGCCAACTTCAAGTCCCTAGCTTCTCTCCAATGTGGCTGCTCCTCACCTTGTCAGATGCTAACATTTGAGGACCAGAGAGAAAAGCCCCCCCCAAAGCAGGTCTCTCCCATTCTGATGGGCCCCTGGTACTGAGGGCATATTAGTTAATAAAGAAAGTCAACTTCTGAAATCTGTTGATTTCATAGGAAGGTGACAGTGCAGGTGGAGTAAATCCTCATCTATTCATGTTTCCCCCTAGATCACTTGGCTGGCTCCCAGTCCTCCTGATCTTTTTGCCTTTCTGGGTTCCCAAAGGAGATCACAGAATTTCATTCCTTTGTAGGTTCTTGTGGGGAAACATGGGGGAGGGAAGTAGATCCGAGCTCACTCCCAAACACCGGTCTCAGGTGCTGACCTCGGAGCATCTGTGGAAAGAGGGGCAGGCAAGATGAGAAGCCAACACCAACACAGGGTCAACAGGTGATCTCAATAATTTCCCTAAAGCTTACCTTGAAACTAGGGTTTACACTCCAGACCCACAGTCTAGGAGTCCTAGTCCATTAAGTCTGACCATTTACCCTTATATTCCCAAAAAAAGAGAGAAAGAGACAATGAAAAGCAGAGAAAAAAGACTGATTATGGGGGCAGCCATAAGAAGACATCTTTACCCATCTTTCGGGGTACAGACATTGGTTAAAGAGGGAGAACTGGGGGCAGGAAGTAAGAAAGGTATGATAGTTAAAACAGTTCCAAGTCCCAGGTATGGCCTGGCTGAGGATTAGCTCAGCCTTTGACTGGAAGCCTGGCAAATAGTCTGTAGCTTTTGGCCATTCACCTCCCGGTAAGAAGATGCTTGTTTGAAGGCTGTTTTCCCTCTGCCACAAGTTAATTATCAGAGACTCCTGTTCTTAGGGGAAGAGGAGTGATTGTAGAGTGTTTGCAGCAAAGAACAGCTCAGATCA